ATATACATATATACATATATACATATATACATATATATATATATATATATATATATATATATATATATATATATATATATATATATACACACACACACACACACACACACACACACACACACACACACACACACACACACACACACACACACACACACACACACACACACACACACATTTACCCATTTCTAGATAACCATCTACCTGTATCTATCTATCTATCTTTCGCTCTCTATATAAAAAAAAATCCCTTCACACAAGACACTCGTACCGTAACTGAACTAAATGCAACGAATCTTCCCTCAGCCGAGCATTTCTTTCAAAATGTAAAATATGCGGACCATTGCCGGATGTCATTACATACAGGGCTTTTTGGGTTCCCAAGAACTGGTAAGTTTATGGTTCCCTCGGGCCACACACTTGCATAATTCCTCATATATTTCTCTCCCCCCCCCCCCCAAAAAAAAAAAAAAATCGTGGGCCTTAATGGTGTTAGAGATGAACTCTACTCGTTTTCAAATATTCACTTATAATACTAAAATCATGTTTTTTTTCGTGGAGCTACTTGTGATGGAGGATTCTAGGCTATAAACTTATTGTTCTATCAAAAATTATTGGTTTTCATTTCAGTCGATTGTTCGGACCAGGAAATTATCCATTAAGATAAAATATAGAGGCAACAAATTTTGCAACTACCCCGGGCTTCGGGTTAGTTGCACTTGCTCTCTTTGGCAACCCTCTCGACGTTATTGCCTATATATATGAAAGTCATAATATAAGGAAAACTAAAACGTTAAAAAATCAGAAGCCATGAGCACAAAAATATAATTATCTTCCGGAATTAAAAAGAAACTCAAGGAAGATTTACTCACAACAAAAGCTACAGCATCAGTATTGCATAATTCTCCCATGGGCGCTGTCTGCAGCCGACGACAATTAATACTGCTTTATATTTATTTCGTGAATATTCATTATGTGGCTTCCTTTTAGTAGACCTTTGTTCATCTGTAACATCTGCCACACGGCCCTTGTAAATTTGGAACAGGAAGATTACTCTGTGCGCCTGCTTACTTAAAGTCTCATGCACATACTTATTTTAGTTAATGGTTAATCCAGGGTTAATTGCATACAACAGATTTCCGTGGTCATCATTTACGGGAATGCCTATAGTATTAGAGAGCAAAAGAATCTTCATTATTTTCAAGGAAAACCCGATCACGACACATGCAATCTCTCCTATAAACAAGTCTTGTCTGCATCCTCACATTTTTAAAAAATTAATGCGTGAACCAGAATGGCACCAATGTGTACATCTGCACAATTCAGCGAATTAAATTGATCATTCTCTGTGTGAAACCAAAGTCCTGAGGATTGTCTGTATGTCCTCTATTCACCAGCGTCAGTTACTACCCCGATTGCGTCATTATTTGTATTCAGGGTACAAGCGTCACCCTTTCGGCTCCTTGCGTAAACCCAAAGCCGGCATTCTACCCCCAACTCCTGGGAGCCTCGTTCGATCACGTTATTAGATTAACTGTTAGGGAGCTTGAGCCGCTTGAGCATCCTTCGCCCACTTTTTTTTTTTTGTTTATTCTGCGGCAGAAAAAAAGGTTATAGTGAAGTAAGCAGCTGTCGTAGGCTCAGAGATATTAACGTCTCTTGGGTCGTTTTTTTTTTCTTTACGGAGACAAGAAACAGGAGTAACAGCTTTACAATTTACTTTAGCAGCATCCAATTTGCGTATTACTAAGGGCAAGATAAATTACTGATAACTGAAAATTAAACCTGTCTTTATTGGTGAAAGAAAAATATATACTTGGATTACCTACGGTCATTAGGTAGTTTACATTATATATATATATATATATATATATATATATATATATATATATATATATATATATATATATATATATATATAAATATATATATTATATATATATATTTATACGCATATATAAACATATATATATATATATAATTTTATATATTTATGTATGTATATAAATATATATATTATATATATATATTTATATACATATATAAACATATATATATATATATATAATTTTATATATTTATGTATGTATATAAATATATTACATATATAAATATATAATTTTTATGTATATTATATATATATATATATATATATATATATATATATATATATATATATATATATATATATATATATATATATAATGAATAAAGAAACAAATAAATAAATAGATAAATAAATAAATAAATATATATATATATATATATATATATATATATATATATATATATATATATATATATATATATATATAATATATTATATAAATTTATATATATATATAATATATATATATATATATATATATATATATATATATATATATATATATATATATATGCATATAAACATATATGTACTTATATGAACAGCATTTCCATACTAGTATCTGTGCCAACTCTCTTGCTGTGGCTGTGCAAGCAACTGTTTTGATATTCTCTTCATGAAGTGCAATAGATGCAATAGAAGAATAGATATTACAAGCACTGTTAACCCCATTTCTTGTATACAGTATATCTATATTAGGAAAAAAAAGAAACAAAAATAAATCCAATTTTCCTGACCTTGGTGGCAACTGTAATGCTAATGAACTCATTACTCATTATTGTTATGCATATAAGAGAAGTCTATATATTGTAAGTTATAGTTATTGGATTCGTCCTATCACAGGAAAAAAATAATTACAAGGTGGTAGTACACAATTTTATTCAATAGAAAAGTTTTATGACATGTGTTGGCAGACTATAATATATAGTATATAGGTATATGCTAATTTTCAAGCAGTTCAGCACCAAGGCCCATTTACTATGTAATACCTCTTTATTTAGAAAGGTTATGGATTACAGGTAAATACTATATACAGTCTGCTTGCCATATGTATATAATGCTCGACTTATCTTCTAGCAGGGAAAAAGTTTAATTAGAGAAAATAAAATTTTCACCCCAGATGAACAGCTACACATCCATTTCCTTCTTTTTTTTTTATTGCGTTACTCAATCAAAATGTATAAGGACTGTCAAGGTAACTGGGGTATGTTTTCTGCGATGATGTGGAGACCCCAGAGCAGAGGGGAGGGGTATAATACAAAAACAAAAATGAAGGGGATTAAATGCATGATTTCCAATCCTTTGATCAAAAATCACTTCTAACTAGGCACAGCTTGCTATTTTTGTTAATCAAAATACATTTATATATTCCTTTATACACATAGCTATTCTTCTTTCCGCTTCCCATTAAGAAGTGAAAATACTAAAAAAAAAAAAAAAAAAAAAAAAGAAAAAGAAAAAAAAAAGAGGAAAAATTTCCCTTCCCATTAATTTACTTTAACTACAAAAGACTTTTCATTCTCCCCCATCTTCTAACACTTGCCTCTTGTGGGCTTATAAATAGGACATTATATTTGGTGAATTAACATATAAAACGTCTCTTATCTAAGAGTACATACACTGGACATATTAGAGAGAGAGAGAGAGAGAGGAGGAGGGGAAAGAGCAAGAGATCAAATCTACCCTGTCACTGGTGGCTGCTACACGCCCTGCATATAACGATGGTAGCAAAGGGTTGTTATATCCCCTTCATGCAGGGTGGAAACAACAAAATCACTTGGACATGTTTAATGGGGACTCTGGTGTTAGAGACAGAGAGACAGAGAGACAGAGAGAGAGAGAGAGAAAAAAATAAAGGAAGAAAGGAGAAAAAGAGAGAAAGAAAGAATATATAAGAAAAGAAATTGAAAAAGAGAAAGTGAAAAAAACAAAACAAAAAACAAAACAAAAAGGCAAGAGATAAATATTTAAAAAAAGGAAATGATGGAAGCAATGAGTAAGAATTAAGAGAGAAAGAAACAGATCCCTTCTTTCTTTTTACAGAAGAGAAGCTTTGACTATTTCGTAGATCATTCTGCGCCTAAAGTAGGGCATGTGCTGCTGGTCAAATGTGATGGTTGCATCTCGTGACAAGTACTCCGCAAACTTGCATGCAAACATCCCGCAGTCTGAGCCGTTCATCTGCTGTGGTATGTCCTGTTGGGTAAGAAGAAAAATAAGAAGTCTGTTATGTCTGATTCTCAAATTGTTTATTTTGATATACAAAGTGGAGAGAAAAATGTCCTCTAAATAGTTCTTTTAGTTATATTTATCATAATCATTATCATCACCTTCAAGATCATTTTTATTACTGTAACTTTAATCAAAATCATACATGAATATTTCTTTATTCCATTCCAACAACAGTTTCAAAAACTTCCTGGATATCAACATCATGTTACCCCTTATGTATTTTGTGTACAGATTTTTCAGCCCCTTAGTTAACATGGTAAAAGTTTTTTTCGGCATTTAGGCCTTCCTTTCTTTCTGTCCATTCAAAGTAAACAGCAATGCTTCCCTGTCTCTGAATTGATCTATTTTTTCCACTGCATATCTATGAACACAAATTTGTAACAAATTCATTCAGTATTGCATAAAAAAGGACAGAAAGAAGAAAAAGAAACATTAAAAGGAGAAAGGAGAGGACAACAAGAATACCAGAATTATTGTTATTAAATATTTGTCAAATTCACTGCTACCAATGAAATTATCAGTAACTTGGGAGAGACAAATCTTGCTTAGCAGATACAAGAAAGAAAGAAAAAATAAATAAATAAAAGAAAAAAATATATACATATTTATAAATAATAATAATATAACCAAATTCATCATTAAACATAAAACAACAACAACAACAACAACAACAACAACAACAACACTATCCAAAGACACTCACCTTCATGTTCTCCAGTGTCCAGTCGCCAGTGTCATACTTTGCCTTCTTTTTGTCCTCGTGCTCTGATTCCAGGTACCTTTTGAGTGCCTGAAGGAGAAGAAAAATACTAGCTTAGAATACAAACTTAGTGATAAGAATAAATGCCATGAATGCACAGCTAGTGAAGACTGTACTGCCAACAAGTACTGAAATAAAACCTCCTGAAGATTTATTCCACTGAAGCCTATTATAAAAGGGACATAATGAACTCAGATTTGCCTAATGCTCTATGCTTATGGAACCAATTAGGCTAATTTTCTGTGGCTCACCGGTAGACATATGCAAATGTGAAAAAAAGATGAAGAAGAAGAAGAAGAAGAAGAAGAAGAAAAAAAAAAAAGAAGAAGAAGAAGAAAAACAAATAATAAATAAATAAATAAAATAAAATGCAGCTGAATCACTAAAACAGAAACTGTCTTTAGTGCATGGAGCTGCAGTGGTTACCTTACAAATAACCCATGATGATTTACTGGTACCTGACCAAGAATGTGATATTTCTTCTGTGCTTTGCTTTTTGTAATGATTAAAACAATTATGAGGACTATATTTACTTTTAATGATATTCATGGATAATCAGTTCTTTCCTATTACTTGCAAAATGATTAACCAAACTGTAGCATTAGCTTTTACAGAAGCATAAGCATCACTGGAGTTTAACTAAGTTAGCTAAAGAGTATGGAAGTACACATTACGTTTATTATCTCATGAAGGGGTGCATTTTACCAGCAGTTGTGGCAAATCCAGTGCAACCCCACTTCAAAGAATGAACTACTGAAGCAACAAACCTACCTCTAGACATCTCTCATTGTCTCCCAGCATGGAGTCGTAGTAGCGAATGGATTTTGATCTTAAGTCCATTGTGGCCAAGCACCAATGCATCCCCAAATGCACTGGCACAAGCAAGAGATCCATACTGAAGACATCAACCTGGGGAGAAGGGCAGAACAGGGGTTGAGTATGAGATCTTTGGTTTTCTGAGTAAACAACAATTTATTGATACAGACTGACACACAAAAAACATGATTTCTAGATTTATGTGTCTCATTCTAAAATGCAACTAGAATTAATTACAAAACTGATTCACATGCAAATACAATATACACATGTTTGTCACACTAGCATCTAGATACTCATATAAAAGATTGTTAGTGTCTCTTAACAGCTCACCTTTTTGGTCCATCTTCTGACAGTTGAATAACCAGTCTTCACCAGTTTTGGGTAGAAGAATGTATTGAAGGCATAAACAGACGGGTAATTATCATTTTTCCCTCGTTCCACCAACAGGTTCATGTAGAAGTTGATGACCTGAAAGAGAGTAAAAAACTGCAATTACACACTAGAGCCAATAATTTACAGTAATCAAGAGCTGATCAAAATAATACAGTCCAGAATTACTCTCTCATGCATTTATACTGAAGCAGGACCATAATTAAAGATACAGATTAGCTGGTAATTTTACTAATCATCCAGTGCATGGAGATAACTGTTAATCGTCAATTCACTCTTTTGTCACTGACATTTTGTAGATGCATCATTGATTGTGTTTCACTGTTTTGAAAGTTTATAAACATGGCCAAAAATGCATAAACTATCAAGAAACAGTAAATAAAAGAAGCTATAATGAGAAATTAAACTGAAACAAAACAAGAAAATGAGTTCCAGAATAAATGTCTTCTTTCCAACAACTGAAACAGGCTGTTGCTGCTAAACCAGTGTACTCAGGCACTGTTAAATGTTGATGTCGATTTATCTCATGGACTCATTAATGGATAATTACTGATGCAAGTCCACCCAATGCTAAGGATTGACATGTGTTGACTAGATAAGATGGAAATTTTACAATATATATATTTTTATATCAAAAGCATAAGAATCTTGAAAGAAGCAGATTACTCTTCATTATCTTTATAAACGGCATCATAACAAACACAGAATTCATGAGGATCCCAAATTATCTATCTCAACGAGTCCAAATTCCTTCAAAAGAAACCTGGTTGAAAATAAATCTGTAACCAATGGCTTAAGATGCTTAACCCAAACACAACATCATGGATGACATGTAGTGATATTATAGCAAAAATCAGAAACAAAATTGGATGGTGCATAGAGACTGATTAATAAAAGGAAAATCTCTAATCTGTTATCTTTTATATAAGGCAACTAAAAAATCTTGAATGGAAAGGGCGAATACACTAAACAAATGGTTTCTGTATACTTAATATTTTCATACACAGGAAGTTAAGAAGCATATTTTCCCTTGCTGTAACTATGTGAAATAACAATATGCAATAACTTCACAGACAATTCATCATTTAGAATCTTTAATGGGCTACCTGAATTCATAAAACATCAATGGCATCTCCATATTCAGTATCTCATAATGAATTCAATAAGAATACAGTAGCTATGAAAATGATACAATCTACTGCAAATTTATATACTGAAACTAAGTTAACCCACTGCTGCCAGGGAAAATGAATAAAAAATGGGGAAAATGTTGTGCTCATTTTTTTTATTTTTGTGAAATGTCTCTGCACATAGATGGCTCTGATAGTGCTTAGCCAATTAGTAGATCTTGAGACATTACCTGATTTCACCTTTCCTTGAATTGGTGGGAAAAACATGTTTTTTACTAGTTCTATGAATATCGATGGTGTTATTTTTATTATATACATTATAATTACTATAATATGAAAATTAGTAATAGCAAAATAAGATAATTTAAATTTTTTTGTAAATCAATGAAAAGGGTGAATGGGTGAGACAGGCAGTACTCATAACTGGCTCATTGGTGACTTTGTACAAGTGTAGCCATCTATGTGTAAAAACAATTAAACAAGTAAACTCACAGTGGGCATGGCATGTACGTACATGCCATGCCTGTCAGCAATGGGTTAGTAAGAGAGGGGAAAATTATAATGCTTCCTATAAAAACAAATGAAATAAAAATAAATTGATAAAGGCCAAGATTCTCAAAACCATTACCTCATCATTCAACCAGTTGAGGCCACACAGAGTAGCAATATCTTTTCGGGTGATCTGGATGCTGAACTTCTCAACAAGCACTTCTCCGGGTGGTCTTCCTCTTAGTGCATCATCTATAACTTCCTGAAAGGCATTAACATTTCCAATTCAATACATAGTGCACTTAAAGAAAACAATATAGGATATTGTTATCTGGCAAGTTGTTAGAAATGTAATCTTTTAATCTCTCTCATATAGTTTCTTCATAACATTACCTTGTTTAAAAAAAAATATAAATTTACTTTCTCTGTTTAACAGCACTTCATTTGTGAGGGTAATAGCAATTATACAAACCTCCATTTCCGCAGTCAGAGGAACAAGTTCTTCCTCTTCTTCCTCTTCCTCCTCAGGTTCTAGTTCTTCAACCTTTGATGGGAAGGTCAGATCGAGATCTCTCATCCTCCGGGCAATACGCTCATCCAAGGATGCTTGGAAAGCTTTTCTCTTTTCTTCAAACATTTCTTTTGTCTTTACTGCCTGTTCTGCTTCTGCTTCTCGTGTCTTACCTTTGATCTCGTATTTTTCACGGCTGTAAATGTATTTGATATTTCTGTTTACTATTTGAAATTCACCTTTTGAGTATTGGATTTTACATATGAACAGTTTACTCTAATGATTTACATTTTTAAAAAGGTTTTGTTAAACAGATATTAAATTCAATCAAATTGAATCTACTATACTTCTGTGTCAGAATGCTAATATGACTAACATCTGTATGAATTCAGATAAAAGAAACCAAAGTTTGCATGATTCTTAACCTGTTCACTCAGGATAATTTTAACCATTTTCTGTCATTCAATCTGGTGCAAATGAAACTACAAGCTGCACGCTGCTGTGGGACACATCCAGTCAGTCAATGCATGCTATTCAGTAACATTTATCAACCATATTTGTCATGATAGCCAACCAGAACTAAGAGACTGCAAGTGTGGAACTGGCAATGCATGAAACACAATTTTTATTGGCTTGTATACATCCCAGGCCATGAGTTATTGAGGCTGAAATGTACTTGAGTCATATGGTCTATAACTGTGCACCTAATAGTGAACATGTATGCTTGGCATGTCAACTCCAGTAACTTGGATGAATGACCAGGTTGCCAATGACACTCATGTCAAGACACCCAGAGGCAGCAAGTTAAGAATCACAGTTAACCTTACAGTTAATCAATAATACAATACTCACAATGACTTCAGCCAGTCTAAGCTGTAGACTGGTGATGCTTGCAAATGCTCTTCAAGGGCATTGCTCTTGGGTGGAGGTTTCTTAACTTCCCCTGTGATGATCACACTGTCACTCTCCGACTCTGAAATATATTTTTTACTATATGTTATCTGTGCAGTTGGAAGCATAAAAAAAATTGACAATCTAGAAATTTCTCACATCACTTCAAACACCATAGCCAGAGAAACAGATCTCCATACAATGAACACAAAAAATCACCATACTAATGAATAAAAGTGTCCTTGTTTCACTGGGATCTAGTGGATAATCTCATCTGAATATATATCAAACTAACATAAAATTATTCAACATGCATGAGAGCATGAATATCATTCTTCTTCTTACCTCTTGTACTCTGATTACTGTTTTCATTCTCTGTCTTGACCAGATCAATGAAAGTGATGATGGGTGACTTGTCTTCACTCCTTTCTTGTGTCCTGAGGGATGAATTATTCACTGAATAAATGAACAGCTCCTTGTGACCAGTTCAATCCTTATAAGTCATCATACATAATTTGGCAATCATGTGGTGGCACTTCATCTCTAAATTTGCAAAAAATAAAAGTTATTTACTGAATGTGGGAAGATTCCCATAGATTATGCAATGCAACTATCTTGTCTGTATTTTTATTAGACATAAAAAAGAAGAAAAAAGATTTTGCTATTTGTAAGTATGGAGCCCATAGTTATTTGATGGATTATTATATAAATCAACTATTTTGCTGACAAACATTTGACCAAATGGATTCATCAATGAAAGATATTATGCCAAGTATGTAGTATACCTGGCCCATTAACAGCACTATATTGTATCAATTTTGTTCTGAATAAATATTTGTCTATTATCATTTTTGACTATATGTTTGCCATACATATATTGATTAAATATCTGCCTTTATTATGACATAAATATGGCCACAGTAAATCAGTGTTCAATTTGGTAGTATCTTGATTTAGCATAATGTCTGTCAGCAATGCATCCATTCATCAAATGGTTGTCGGCAAAATAGCAGTTTGGTAAATAGTCTATTGGAAAAAAGGCATTTGGCAAAAAGTCTGACAGTCGTATAAATGTGCTGGGCATTCATGCAATGACTTCTTCATGTTTTCTTTATAATTCTTCCATTATTAGATGAAACACACACATGCAAAAACACGTACCTTGGCCTGCGGGCTGAACACAGGGCAGAAAAACTGGAGCTCGATTCCTCAAGCTGCTGCCGCTTCTCATTCGTCCAATTAGAATTCAAGCGGGAACGAGTGATGAACCCTTGGGGGCTGCCACATCGGCTGTGACATAAGTTCCGTAAGAAGTTTGTATTTATGGTCACAAGAAAAATTTCCATAAATGACAAGATAAGAGGTTAAAGTGCACAAAGATGATAAAGGGATGACAATAGAAGAAGTAATAAATAGACAATATCAAGTCTTTATTTATTTATTTTTCTATATCATGCACAAACAACATTAGTGATTATATCTGGCAATCCTTTATAACATACCTATCAGATGCAACAGAAGCACTAGAGGATCCCTTGTACACAGAGTAAGATTCTGGTAAGATGGGGCTGTCTGTGAACTGCTGCAGTAATTGCTGGTACCTCATTTTGTCTTCGTAACGATAACTCTGAACAGAAGAACACGAAAAAATAAACAAATAAATAAATAAAAGCTGTATCTGGCACAAAGGCAGAAGAAGACACAAAATCTGAGATTTACCATCTTCACTAGCATTTATCTTTATTATCTACCATCTGATAAATCCATAGAAGTAGTTATGAAAATTTTAAATGATAAATTTGGCTGAAATGCACTTTATTTTCTCTTGTTCTTGCAGTGCTGTTTCTTTATATCTATTTTCCAAAAGCATTAACCTGAGGAACAACAAAAGGTTCATAAAAGGAAATATCATCTATAATGGTAATGTTTGCAAAGTTGAAAATTTTGCAGTAGTATTGATTGCTGCTGCTTCTAAATTGCTAGGACAATAATACTGATACTATAACTATTTTGCTGAAGAGGTATAAAGACAATGGAATGAAAACAAGAATCCTACATCCCAGAATTAACCCCTTGGTGCCGGGTGACGCCGATCGGCGTGTAAACAAAGAGCTTGAAAGCTGGCATGCAGCCAAACGAGCCAGCGGCGCGCCAAAGCGCGGCGAGCCAGTGTTTCGGGCTGATGGCCCCTACTCACGGGCTAAAAGTCGGCGCGCCGCCTTTGTTTGTTTAAGCGTAGAGTTTTTTTTTTCTTTTGTACACCCGGCGCCATTGGGTTAACTAACTTTTGGGCCATGATATCAAACTGGGTTGCAGATGTATATAGAGCTTAATAAAGGATATCTGGCCATTACCAATTCTGTCACTCACTCTCTTATCATAAAAATTTAAGACTGTAATTTAATATCTAAATGTTGAAAGTAATGTATAATTTTCTGAGAATATGAACTCATACTTTCACCAAATAATATATCAATTCATCATCAAAATAATGATAATCTAGAACAAAAGACTGGGTCAGTATTCATCAAATAGATTAAGAAACAATTTACACCTTAAATCCTGAAAAACAATTCATGAGGACTTACGTCAGGAATGCCAGTCTTGGTGCGTGTGAAAAAGGAGGAATTCAATGATGTTTTCTTCTTTTTCGCCCCAAAGCATCGCTCTTGCAGGTTCTTAACTGGGTTCTTAGTTATAGATATTGACTTACGATCAATAGAGGTAAGCCTGCTGTTTTTGGTGAACCAGTCTGCTACAGATGAGGAAGGAGAGAGAGAGACATATAAAATGTATCCTTTAAGGAGCCAGTGTTTGAAAAAGTGGATATATAAAACTAACTAAAAACAAATATAATGAGGATTAAGGGGAGGGAGGGACAGAGGTAGAGAGGTGTATAGAGGTGGAGGGAGGGAGGGAGGGAGGGAGGGAGGGAGGGAGGGAGAGAGAGAGAGAGAGAGAGAGAGAGAGAGAGAGAGAGAGAGAGAGAGAGAGAGAGAGAGAGAGAGAGAGAGAGAGAGAGAGAGAGAGAGAGAGAGTGATGGGATAAAAGTATCCGTAAACCTATATTCCTCTTCACTTTTGTCTCTTTAACTATTTATATACACATGAAAAATATAGTCAAATAACTTCTATATCCATTTCTATAAATGAAAAAATATATATACAAATAAAAGAGGTGACAAAAAATCACTTACTCGGTTCTCGGATGTTGCGGCCTGCCAGCGAGGATGACCCTGAGGCTTGCTTTGACACAGTGGATGTGATGCTCGGGCTGAAGCGGAAGTTGGCATCGATGCCTGAGGAAGTGGGTGGGGCACCTGGCGTCTCCACGTCTATCCCCCGGCGTGCCAGTGCTGGCCGTTTGGTGGGGGCGCTGGTGTTGGCGAG